ACAGTAATCAGAGGTTAACTAAGGCTGATAATGAGTGTGGATTGCAGCCTGCTGAGGGTAACCAGTGGATAAAGTAATTGTGACACAGCGGCTAAGGCTAACAAGAACATATATAAACACTTAATGTGAACTTGGAAGCTATCCGGAATAACAATGTGATCTTGGAAAAATTGTGGATTAATATTGTGATTTTGGAAGCTTTTGGACTAACAATGTAATATTCAACAATTTTTGGACTTAGAATGTAGGTTTTTGAGATTTGGAACTGAGCAGAGCACACACAAAAAATACACTGCACATAAATGTATTGTTTATGTAGGCTGGTGATGATAAATTAAATGATTCTGACATAAATGAAGATAATCATACGAGAAACTGAAGAGGTGCAAGTAATGGTGAGGAAAAAGTAATCAAAAGAAAAAAAGAGGGCGTGGTGTGACAAACAGAAAGAGAGAGAAAGGAAAGATATGCAGAAAGAGAAACACAGAGAAATAGAAAAGAAGAGACAGGTAGAATAGAGGGGATGGCAAAGAGGGAGAGGATCTCAAGGAGAGGATGAGGCATAATAATAATGACAGAAAAAGACAAAAATATGGGAGGGAAAAAAAAAGAGAACAGAAAGAACAAGGGGGGGGGGGGTGGGGTGGGGGGGGGGGGTGGGGGGGGGGAGGAGATAGAGAGATAGAGTGAGAGAGAAATAACAGATGAGACATAATAACAAGAAATTACCACATAAACACACACACACATACAAAGAAAGAACAATGACTAATAAGCTGGGATACTGGAGAAAAAAAACAATGGTGGGGAAAAAAGAAAATTACTGTTTGAAGCAAAGCCTATAAAGGGAAACAACCACCTGGTAACTAGTCACACTTAAAAAAAAAAAGTTGGATGGAAGGAGGGTCATAGTGGGTCTCAACAAATGTCAACCATAGCAATAATGGAAAATAGACTAATGGGAAAGTGGTCATAATATTCTCTAGAACTGAACATAATGAAACAGCAAACTGGGTCAAGGCTGTGGAATACAAAGGTCAAAGGCTATACCGTGAAACAGCAAACTGGGTCAAGGCTGAGGGACACAAAGGGCAAAGGCTATACCACCTCATTAAGCCTGGACAGGGATGCTGTGATCTCATTGGCTGCTTGAGCAATGAGCAAGTTTTCACTGCTGCCTGCAGTTTTTGTTGTCAGACTTGAGATATCTTTCAGTTCCATACTCTAGCAAACATTGTATTGGGCGGATGGAAAGGTAAATGTGACAGAATATCATTTGGATGAGCACAGAAAAATATGATAGCAGATTGACAGATAGCATAGGACGAGAGCATAAGGCTATATTAGTAGACAGAACAATTTGGATAAAGCATGGGCAAAACATTAATAAAAAAGAATAAAACATTATAATTGATAAATGGTTCATAGAAAACAAAATAACAACCACTATAAAGATGGCTGAATGGTAATAATATGCACTAACATGATAGACTGATTACATGTAGATACAAATGATAATAGAAAGGTTAAATGGATTAAGGATAGGAAAGAAAAGGAATGCACAAACAAAACTTGACAGTAGAGAGGATTGACAATGTGGACAAACATGAAAAAAAAAAGAATTAGTTAAAAATTGTTTGTAGATTGCAGCAAAGATTGAAAATAAGGATAATCATTATAGATAATAAAGAGCTAAATGGATAAGGCATGAAGATGATATTTTTGCCCATTCCATGTAAAGCAATTCTTTTTATCGTAAACAATGGTGATCTCTTCTGTATAATGTCAGTAAAAGACTCTTCATTCATTGAGGTAAGTTGGGCATATCTGTTTGCAGACCAATCAACATTCAATGATCGATTTTGTCAGAATCCTGCCGCCTATCTTTGATTCACGCTAGACATATGAGTTAAGGTCATCTCTCCATGTGGGTTTTGAAGCTCCATTTTGGAGGAAACAAGAATATATCCACTGCCCCTAGCAAGTATGTTGTAAAAGGCAACTAATTAGGGGTTTTCATTCAAAGTCGGAATGCATCTGCCTGAGAGATACAGAACCAGCAGTCTGCATACAAGTAAACCAGATGTATGTTAACAGAGGCATCATCATTACAACCAGCCTTTCCCATTTTCCCATGAATGCCACATAAAATATAACAGTTGTAATTTAGAATGAACATCCCACACAAAAATCTGGCAAAGAGATGGTCAGAAAGTAATGCAAAAAAATAAAAAATAAAATCATAAATATAAAATCAAAGGGAAATAAGCCACCATAACCCATTGTGTAGATGATGTAATGAGAGTAAGCCTGGGGGGCAGAAAAAAGAAGTTCCAATGGAGTACCTCCAATGGAGTATAGGCTTCCAACCAGCTAATGCCAAGCATTCTAACCTTTGTTCTGTCCTGTAGCTTCATCATTGTCCTCTCTTTTTTCATTAATATCTCTTTTTGATTCTCATCTGCATAGGTATTTTTTAAGTATCCTATTTCTTTAGCCTGCAGGCTCCAGAGAAAGAACTTTCTAGCTATACTATAACATGTTTTCTCAATACTTGCCCTATCTCGTGGTTACATTTCCTCATCCCTGGAGGAGCCAGACCTTTTTCAAAAATGACCTTGGCTCCCAGGCTGACCCAGCCTTGAGTGGGTACCGGGTGCAGTCCCGGGAAGTAAAGGTGGCCAGCGTGATGCTGACCAAATCACCCATCTTGTGCTGATTGGTCTATAAAAATATAGGTCTAGCCCTATATGCTATGTACGCCTAAAGGCATGGAAAAAGGTCCTTAACTTCACTTTTTTACTTACGTTTTCTCACTTCTTGATTTGCTAGACTTTGTTTAGCTACATAACTTTTGGATAAGTAATTCTGTCATACCCTTTCAGCCCTTCTACTGTAGGCAAGCACCAGTTGATTAATACAGTTTAAAGTAAATGTGTTTAGTCATTCTCCATGTTTTCTAATCTATATATACAATAGTAGTTATATTGTATCTTAGAACTAAATATTATCAAGCTGGTATTAGAATGAGTAAATCTGAACCCCAATAGGGCTGCACACTGAGTGATCAACACTTGGTGAGCAAAGTGTCACTATTCTGACAAGAATCCCCCAGGTGCAAATCTCAAAAACCCTGTTCAAACCCAAGGTTATACTAGATTTAATTGGACCAGATTTAAACAAATTTCTAGTGCTATAGAAGCTCCTTAATACTAATACAATCAGTTTTTATACATTAACATGTTTGTATTTTGCATTGTGATCTGGTGCTATATATATTATTTTATATATTCTTTTATGTGAAAAAAAGTTCAGTGATAATAAATTGGTAATTTGGAATTTTCACTCATTAGACTGTATTTTTAAAACAATTTCTTCATTAAAATCCTATACGGACATTCAGGACACTCAGCAAAGTTTGGATACTGCCATCTACTTGATTATGTTTAGCACTGTGAAGTTTCATGTAAAATTCCTCCTAAACTGATTGATCCTTTTTATTTGTTGGTGTGTAAAACTAGATTCCATTCATGTTTACTTTCTGTTTCTGTAGTTTTAAATGTTGTCATCGTTCTTGAATCCCTTGTTTTCTCACTCCATCAATGTTGTGCCAGGTCCAGGTATAAAAATTACTTGGCATTTAATAGGTCAAATGGGCAGCATCTGACCAGCTGCCTCAAACTTCTTGTAACATTTTCTGGTTCACATTTTTATTTGGATCATCACTGGCACCATATTCTTCTTCTTCAGCATTCCAAGCCCTTGAGGTTCACTGCTATAGTTATCACCCATATCCATTCATCTCTCTGGCTGTCTTTTTCTCTCCTGTTGGTGATATCAAGTGTTTGTAGGTCTGCCTGGATATTATCTCTTCATCATCTTCTTGGTCTGCAACCATTCAACTCCCCTGTGCACACAGTTTTTACCTCTCTGTCATACTGGCTGCACATGGACATTAAAAATATCCCAGTAATGGTGGGAAGGGTTAGGGCTGGTAGGGTGAGGGGGTTTGGAGGGAGGGAAGGGTGTTTGAGCACTGCCTATCTGGCAGATGAGGTTGCTGGTAAATCTGCTATTGCTGTTATATTGTTTCTATTACCCCAAAAAGGACCCTTTTTATATCAGTGGCACATCAGGAACATGATGTTAGATCCATATTTTTTATATGCCAATTGGCACCTGATGATGATGTGGTCAATAGCATGCCAGCTGTGTCTACTCCCCATAACATTTCCTAGTATCCATTTTAGACTTGGCTGACTGGGCACCCAAGGTCAATTTTGGAAAAAAAAAATAAACATCTGCCATAATGTGTATTTAAATCCAAGACCTTTGGCTGCCAGCCAAGTGTTTAACCACTGAGCGGTAAAAGTAACATTGGTCTCTCCATGCTCCACCCATATACACACTATCTCACTTCTGAATGGTAGTTCTGTCAAAACCTGTCACCTTGGCACAAGGTTACGGGGGTGTTCCGCAATGCTGTTGATATCGCGTGTTGTATATTTCAGCATGCCAGCACTTTTAACACTCCAAAAACATGGAGAAACTGGTCCTAACTCAACCCTATAGAGAGTGTTGTAACCTAAGTCATAGGCATTCTCTTTCTCAGAATGAAAACATAAATGCAAGATGACATAGGAAGCAAACAACAGAGCGGGACACACCTGTAACCTTCAGGAAAGGTAACCAGCCCAACAAACTTGTTAATGAAAAGTGACCTAATCTATTTGGGTATATAGACATGAACCTAACCCACTAGGCTACTGCAGTTTTCATAGTTTGTGTATCTGACACTAATTATACAGTTAGTCCCACTGACCTTTAGTCACAAACAACTGGTTTGGCAATCACAGTGATTTCAATTGTTTTAGTCAATTAAAAATAAACAATAAAACCCATCACCAGAATAATTAAACCGAGTGTAAAGTGGGTTAAATAACCCACAACCCAAAGCTGCAGGATGTGGCAGTGCAGGGATGGAGGAAGGAAGTGTGTACCTCCCGAGGAACATATGACTGAAGCTGTATCCATGACTCATCGCTGGTGAATGATTCATTGACATACCCGCCCAGATCTGGTCGGTATAATGCCTGCAGTTATGAGAAAATGATTACCATGCACAGAAGTTACTTCCCACATCTACCGATCAATCAGTTTATCTCCTCTGTGATGCTACCTAATGGCTTACCATACCATCCTAAGTTTAAAAAATATCAATCTGGACTGCAGACCAACAAGGCAGATCCAAGATACCCTATTTAACCTCCAAAGAAGTTATAATTAGGGCACTCTTAACGGCTACACCAGCCAGGTGTAACTTACAGTATGTATGTGTATGTTGTTCAACCCCACCAGGACCGTACCATAGGAGACCAACATCTGGTGACACAAAGTGCCACCATTAAGACGAGGATCATCCAGGCACAAGTCCAAAAAACCCAGTCCAACCTCTAGGCTGAGTTATATTATATTGCCCCCAGCAACAGTTGGAGTGGGGCTTAAATAAAAAAAATTATTATGTCCCATATGGGGACGTTTTTTTTTAAAACTTACACTTACAGTCCTATGGTGGTACGGTGAACCTTTCACATCCTGAACCCTTTATGATACACAAAGGTGGGATGCACAGGTGTATTTCTATCTGTACTGAGGGCACACTAGGACCAGGGCTCCTATCGGTTAAGGCTCATCTACACCACTACATGGTCACTCTAAAACAGGTTCCCTAATGCAAGCTTGGCTGATGTAGGTAGGGTCAACATTTCTTTTGAAATCTTTTGAGTGCATATGCCTGAGAGATGAGGAATCAACAGTCTGCACACACACACACAAAACCAGATGTGGAAAATGGATGTGAACACAATACTCGAGTCAGGGATGAAGAAAGCTATCCAGACATAGATGACAGACATCCAGCAAGGACCTTCTGTTTGGAATTTACTACTGGCTGATGCAGAGAATGTGAAGGAGTAGTAGGCAAAAAGCAAATCAGTAATTTTCCTTATCACTCAATCAGGTGCTTTCTCCACAATGAAGTTAGCTGCAATGGATTTCCAACACTGTCTTTCTCCCAGGGTGTAGACTCAGTCTGACTGTAGTCAGCCTATCTAATTTTGTTAGACTATCTCATTCTTATTCTGCATTCACACTTAAAAGGGTGGTTGGTATGGTTTGTTGTTTACAGCTAGGCTACAATATCTGTGCCCTTTGCTCCAACAAAAGGTTGCATTAGGAATGATGATATCTCTCACAGAACCAAAACTGAACTTTATTGGTAGACAACAGATCAACAGTATGGCTATGCAATAGACAAGGTACCACAAAGAACAATGTTATACAGATACATGGCAACAGAGCCAGAGGTCGATCACACAGAATAAGGACTGTGGAAATATTGGATACATTAACAAGTTCTCTTTATGAAGCTAATAAAAGAGCCTGTTCCAGAGATCTCTTCCTGGCCTTGACGCTGCAAATCATTCCAGGAGAAGAGAAAAGAAGGAGAAGAAGAAGAAGAACAGATGAGAAGAGAAATACTAGAACATAATGAGATTATATTTAAGCACAGCACAAACGATCTAGCAGGGAATACATCTTGGTTTTAATGTTTACTAAACTTGTGCACTCAGTTGCTCCTGATGCATTGGACAATGTTGACTGATTTTTCCCGTCTGGACTGCCACATAAAAAAGTGACTAAAAGAGTTACATGAAGGATGGCAATCCAACAGGACAAATTCCAGATACCCCATTCAACATACTGATGTTATAGTTAAAGTACTGTAATGGCTATGCCATGTAATAGCTGGTGACCCATGATGTCCACGGTAAGGTAGCATCTTATATATGGACAGATATGAAACATGTTTCATGCTATGCATGCATCCTGTATTATATAAGCATAAATGGAAAGAACGTTATTACTGATAAGTGAAACAGCATGACAACACTATTAACATCATAAAATAAAATGTACTAAACCCAGTCTCATTCATAAACAGATAGATACTAAGCAGTTTTCATGTCTTGTGGAATGAATCCTGTTTTTATGCAAGTGAAATATATGCAATTAATTTGACAGATTAAAACAGCACGGCAACATAATTAACATCCTACACTGAAATGTTGTGAACACAGTCGCAGTCTTACCTGTACATTAGAGTTGTCCCCGCCATTGCCTGCTCGTCGCCGCTTGCTGCTGTTACGCCGAAGGAAGCTGAAAGTACGATGTTGAGGCAAATCATCTCCCTTGTCAATGCTGACATACAGAAGGCAGGGCACAACATCCATCAAAAGGTGTCACACACAACATCCAGCAGGTCCGAAGTGATGTCACAACATCCAGCAGGTCCGAAGTGATGTCACAACATTAAGAAGCCCACACAGTGATGATACAGAGGTCACAGCATCACACAGGTCCAGGGTCATGTTACAACATTTAGGGGGTGTACACAGAGAAGGTGTAGTGATCACAACACCAAAGTGTCCATACAGTGATGGTTCCGGGGTCATAAGGTTAAGGGTTAGAAAAACAGACAACAGTGTTACAACATTTAGATTATGGAATGCATACAGTTTCAAATCATAGTTAATAATGATAACTCTAAACAACAAAGACATAAATAATAGACTGCACAATTTATTGTGTGTTATATTTCGGTCTATATTGGCAGGTGCATGCTACAGAAATAATTTTAAAAAATTAGGCAAATAAATGAATTTTCACAACTGAAATACAAAATAAACACCCACAAAAGTAAGTGCCTGTCCTACCAGAGCAACTGATGGATGATAAAAAAAATTGTGCAGTGTAATGCTTGTGTCTTCTTTGTTCAAATATACACTGGGGAAACATTATCCTTTAACTCTTGGAGTCCCAGTGGATTTAGCATCATAGGCCGAAGGGCCTCAAAGAGAGACATAAAATCGGCTCATCATATATTAATTGGGTTTCAAGGTAGGAACCTATGCGTTCCTTGGGACTGAAAGAGTTAATGATAAGCCTGTCAATGCAAGCTATACACTTTATGAATACCAGCCTCAATAAAAAAAGTGTTCTTACACTTTTCTACATTTGGTTAGAGAAGACTAAAGTCATCTGGCTTCTTTAGTCACCACTTTCAAATTTGTATTTAGCCTCACTGAAGTAACAATATTGTAATTTTTTTTTGTAAATGATCTTTTTCTTCTCCCTTTCTAGGAACCAAGTCAGTGGGAAGGCTAACCCAGGCACAAATGTTAGACGTGTTGGCCGAATGGCACAAACATCACAACCATGTTGTTAACAGGTTCACCACATGTGCATCCTTGAATGAACAAATTCTCAGTGTTGGTTCTACAGCCCCATTTTGGAGGAAATCAGAAAAGACCCACTGTGCCATAGGCTTTTAATGCAGTTTAATTTCTGCCTTCATTTGACCTCTGTCTCTTCCTGGCTACTGTTGAACAATCGCCATTGTTAATTTAGGATTTAAAAAATTACAAAATGTAGTAACATTTCTCTATTCTTTATCATTTAGTTTAATTTTTGGTTGATTTTTAGTTGCTTTGATGGCCTAATTTTGTTCATTTTATGCCTTTAAACCATACAGTATATGCAAGAACACAGAATGTCAATAACACAATCATAATTCAAGCATATAATGGTAAAACACATAAAGTAATAGAACAGACACTTTGTAGTTTTAAACAGTTTGGAAATAAACTGATTAGAAAAATAAAAGCAGAATGAACATCCAGCAGAATGAAAGCATAAACAAAAATACTTGATACACAACACTGAAACTGGTATTCTTTTTCTTCTTCTTCATCGCGTTCACCGGCTGTAAACTCCAGTGGAAAGTTCTGTTTGTTTGTCCATTTCTGGACTACAGTCCTGTTTCAGAAACTTCCGGTCAAAATGGACGCTAGGCAGCGGCACTGTTCGAAACAGAGGCAAATATTTTGCTTCTGCCAGACGGTGGCCGATGCATTTTTCTCCATTTGTAGACTGGATATAGTTTCGTCGTCCAGCTTCTAAGTTGAATGCATGGCGTGACCCTGTGAGCTGCGGATTGCATTTTGAATGGTTTTTTTTACTGTGACCAACGTGTTGGTGTGAATTGTAGATTCAGAAAATGGCGCGATGCCTGTCGTGCAGTGTTGTGGTGACTTCTGCTACCATCAATGATGAACTGCAATTCTAATGCTGTGATAAACATTCTGTGTGTTTTTCGTTGGCACAGGAGTGGAGCAAAGATGGGGTGACCCGTTTTCTATGAAGCTGAAACTAAGACTACCTGACTACCAGACTTCAGAAACTGGGTGTTGCGTGTGCATCAGTTTGATAGATTTGACTCATTTGTGTTGGTTCCTTGCCTCTCAGGTAGATGCACTCCGACTTGGAAGGAAGCTCACAATTAGTCGACTTTTACTACATGCCTTTTGGGTAGGAAGTGGATCTATTCTTGTTTTCCCTTTCATAGGGCCCCGGAACCCACACGGGGAAAACTGGTATAATTAAGCTTTTATAAAGTGGCAACACTAATTGACAGGTTGGGTTTTGTGCATTTTATAGGTGAAAATGTAGCAGGCATATGACTTCACACAATATAAAAATATTTACAGTTTTAACAAGTCTACCTCTGTCTGACAACAATCATTAAAGGATTACATACACAATTGATGACATTGTAATTAATTAAGTTTTGTATTTCTTAAATCTTATTTCATCAGTTATATAAGTTTATAATTTATACAAAAGTGTTAGGATCACAATTTCATGCTATAGTGTGCACATGCCAGAATGGCAAAAAACCCAGCTCAGTGCCATATTGACATATGAAGTTATGTTAAAAAAGTAAAGGGGCTCATTTCTATGCCATACAGTGGACACAATTAAAAAGGAAAAGAATCAATTTCTATGCTGCAATGACCTTTTAGGGAAATTTACAAGGCAATTGAATCCATTTCCTTGCCATACTGTGGGTATGGTTAAAAAATAAAAAGTAGAGATGTAACCGCTACAGAAAATTTTAAAAAAGGCCTTAAGTATGAATATTAGGAATACAGAAGTACAGTAAAACTTTGATTAATGGTCACTCATTTAACTGTCAGTTTCTGTTATCTGGCATCGTCTTAAAAACAAGAATGTATGAATATCAACAAACAAACAGAAATCTTTAAAACTGTCCACAGATTACTTTTCACACCCTGCTGTATAAAGCTGCAGATGGCAGAGCCTCAAAGACACAGAAGAAGATGTCATTATTTTAAAGTAACAAAGATTTACAGTATATTTCTGTACATTACTCCTCTTATTTTGAAGTTTATATTGATCGGTTTGTAAAATTAAATCTGGTAATCTGGTAATCCTAGTTTCAGCTTCATAGCAAACGGGTCACCCCACATATGCTCCGCTCCTGTGCCAACGAAAAACAATCGCAGCTCACAGTGTCACGCCATGCACTCAACTCAGAAGCTGGGCGACGAAACTACATCCTTCCAGTCTACAAATGAAGCAAAAATGCAACGGCGTTGACTATGTCTGCTCTGTCCATACTTTTTCCCGCAATCATTAGTGCAGTGCTTGCCAGTTGGTCTGCTCGCTCATTTCCCTTCACGCCCGCATGACCCGGTGTGTAGATCCAGGTTACGGAGGTTAAGTGCGATTTCCTGATGCTTTTTATCCATTCAGAGCGCATACTGCCTGTTGCTATCTTCTGAAGCATATTCATTGAGTCTGAGACAATTACTACCTGTGTGGCGGTTTGCTCGGATACCCATGCTAAAGCTCTAGAAGCAGCGGCTATTTCCATTGTCATGCTTGACGTGGTTGTCTGGTAAGCGCCGCTGTCCTCATGTATTGTTTTCCCCTTTCTTTGCGCTGTGTATGCCCATGCTGACCTTGATCCGCGCTTCACGGATCCATCTGTGTAGATGATGGTATCTTCTGGGTCTGAATGCTGAGCTATCAGTTCCCTTATTTCTGTGTCTACCGCCGCAGGAATTTGATCCCTGCAGTACCTTCCGAGTGTGATGACAACCTTAGAGATGCCATGCATGTCTGCTGGTGTATTCGTCCATTCTTTTCCGTGGCTGATCACGTCTAGGTCACATACCTACTGGATTAAGTCCTCAGCCTTTGCCATCCAAGAGCGGCCCCTTTTGAGACGCGTTCCTTTTGTGTCGTGAATAGCTTCGTGTAATGGGTGGTTAACATCTGCCGATACCCTCATGTAAGCCTTGACCTGTGCCACTTTAATTAAATACAATATATATGTATTTTTCCGTTTTGAAGGATTTTATTTTTTCATTTTTGTCTCAAGTCAGCAGTGAAATCACGTTACTGTACATATGTATAAAGAGATTTCTGTTATCCATCTGTTCGATTACAAATCACAGGCCCTTTGCAGACAGCGACAATTAATCAAAGTTTTACTGTAATTGTAATTAATATCAAATAAAAATTAAAATGTACAAATTAAATTAAATGCATAAATTTAGGACAAATACTTGAGTAAAGTTAAAAGTTAACATCAGACTGAAGATGTCTCAAAGATAAGGATCATAACAGGAGCAGTAAGAGTGCATTTTACAAAACAAAGAGCATTCATGCTATAAATTTCTGTCACTAAACATCAGAAAACAATCCTTACTTGTCCCACCAAACAATTTTCAAAAAATGACTATGAACCTTGGATAGTAAAGAAGACAATAAATCCACTGAGATCTGGGAGTACAAAAGAATGCCTGAAATTCCCCTGACCGCCAAATGATTAATCTAAAATGTACAGAAACATAAAGACAACTTTCCCCATCGGGGTTCCGGGGACCTAATTTTGGTGAAAAAGAATAGACCCACTGCTCCCCTAATAAGCTTTAAAAAAGCCAACTTATTAAGAGTGTATTATTCAAAGCCGGCATACATCTGCCTGAGAGGCAAGAAACTGACAGTCTGCATATAAATAAGTCAAATATGTAAGAACGAGAAGACAACATATCACAAGCATCAGAAAGAGGCAGTTATCAGTTTGTTGCCACATTATGGCAGGAAGAAAAAAAACCAGAATGATTTATGATAAATTGAAAGATTTGTAGAAGGAGGGATAGAGGAAAGGTATAAGAAAACATTCTGGACAGCTTTTTGTTATGGCATGAAAACATGTTAGACCCTAAATGTTACATGTTTTGGAGATTACAAGATAAGAAGTATAATTACATAAATGCCCATTGGAAAGATATCAGATTATAATTCTTGATTGTAGAGTGCCAGCTTTGTAACTATCCCTATGAAACTGTTGACTATAATCTCTTTGAGTGCCCAAAACTTAGCGAGATTAAAAGAACGCTACTCCCTTCAAGACCAGACAAGTGGAACACTTTTTACGGAGGAAAAAATAGCTTGTGAAAACATGTAAATTCCCCTACATGGCGTTGGGCCAAAGAGCGAAAGCTCATGTGTCACTGGATCGATGACAACAGCAACAACATTGTAGAAATACTTGAAGATCTTTGAAGATCAAAAATGGTCTATAAAATAATGAGAAGCGCATTACAATGCAGAGTTTGTGTTTATGTCAGTTTTTGACATGTATTTTCTATGCTGGAGTATGAAGATCACAAGATATGCAGAAGATATAAATTCCCATGAGAAAGACATTAGTTGACAATTCTTTATTGTAGAAATACTTGAAGATTTTATTAAGTTTTCATTAACAAGTAGATAGACTGGCTGGCTCTGCACCACTTCGTGGTAAATTGCATGACAAGATAAATGTTGTGAGGGTCCTTTGGGGGGGGGGGGGGGGGGTGTGGGGGGTGGTGAGTGAACAGTGCGGAAGCACAGATAGATCATCATGGTCTGAGGAGAATGGTGCCGCGAGGAGTCACCAGGGAATCCTGCCAATGATCAACACTCATTGAAAAGGTGAGAAAAATATACAGTCATACTGATACTGGTACCATCTCAATTAGAACTTTGTGCTTGCTGCTGAATATAGGATGGATCACTTATGGGAATGTCTCAAGTGCTGGGATGCTGATTCTTAATTAGGCATTCTTAAATTACGTTTTCATCCTATTACTGTGGAGCATGATATACCATTGTCTAGCTCTGTGTTTATAAAATATTTCTAACTAACAACAAACCTTTGTCCAGCACTGCCTCCGCCATCCACATTCTCCTCTGAATGCTCTGAGTCCAGGGACTGGCTCGATCTGGCAGATGAACCTTTCATACCACCGCCCATGAGTTTACGGAACAAAGATGGCCTCTGAGATGACAAAATAAATGTGAAACAATTTACTACATAGAGCACAAGTTTATACCATTTTTGACACATTTTTTCCTGTTGGAGCATGAGGGGTAGATTAATCTCTATTCTTTGATCCTGGTCTATAGCAATATATCAAATGATTTATTCATTCCTTTTCTATTTTACAAAATCTTAGAGCATAGCAATTTATCAAAATAGTATTTATTATTTTCTCTTCTGTCTTATGCTGTAATGATTTGTAATTGTATCATTTATTATTTCATCTTCTATCCCTGGAAACGGATACATCTTTATTTTATCTTAGTGCATGCCATATTTAATTTTATTATTTATTCATTTTTCTTCTATCAAACGGTGTAATGAAATGTTATTATTTATATGTTTTTCTTCTAGACTATAGGAGGAGGGAATGCCTTCTGTTTTACATTTTTGTGTGAAGTGTAGTGGGTAGATTCAGAACTGTAATAATTGATTCATGACAATTCCTGAGCAGGTGATGTAATTATCTACACAGCTGGCTCTGTTTTCAGAGGCTGGAGGAGTGCATGGGTGCTCATTACAAAAGTAAATGGATGAATGCTTATAGGGAATGTCTCAAATGCTGTGATTTGTCAATGACTTCCCTCAGCTTAAAAAGTGTGTAATGATATATTTTAAAATTAGTGGTTATCAATTCAGAAATGCTACATTCTACCTCAAATTCCAGCTGACCACGTAAAAAAAAAAAGACAATCATAAAATTATAACTATTCACCTGAAAGATTAAATTTGTCTTTACAAAAAAAGTTGGTGCCATCTCTACAATGGAGGTTGGCTACAGCATATCGCTGGTTTTTTTTTTTTGGTGGGGGGGGGGGGGGGGGGGGGGGGGGGAAGAGATTTGTCTTAATTTACCATTTGAAAGTTGTAATTTATTATTAACAAAAAGTTATAATTTAACATCTGGGTGTTTAAAATTACTGTTTGAATAGTAATCAAATATTTTGTAATGATTCTTCTCCTTTTTCTTCGCATTCACTATCTGTAAACTCCAGCAGAAAGTCCCACTGTGTATTCACTTCTGGACTTTTGTCTTGCTTGAGAACTTGAGTTTTAGGTGCATATCTATTTTAAAGACCAGACTTATTTGTATGCAGACCGTTAGTTCCTTGCCTCTCAGGCAGATGCACTCCGACATTGAAAGAAACACCCCTAATCAGTTGCCTTTTAAGACATGCTTGTTAGGGAGCTGTGAGTCTATCCCACCTCCCCCTCCTGGTTATCACCACCTAATCCAGTTTCCCATTCTCACAGTGTGACTAAAATTGTAGAGTGTCACCTTCGTATGCAAGCAATCATTTCTTTTCTCATCATCTGAGAGCTAATTTCCTTTCAGAACACTGTTTACCTGTCCACAGTGTTATTATTCATATATAAAGCCAAACGTCTGCAGCTTCAGTGTAATCAAAGTTCCTTGTCATCTTAAAGTTATCACTCACATTTTGTGACTGGCAACTTAACACCATCACAACTTTTCATCATGTTAGATTTGCCACATACCGTTTGTTTATTTTAACCTAACACCATCCAAGTTCTTTTTACTAGTTTAAAGTTTTCTTGCACCATTTTACAGTTCTAATTTACCAGCAACATACCATCTTAAAGTTGTTAGAAGCATTCTGACTGGCTTTATAGGCTTTCCAGTTCTCTGCTATCAACAGGCCAGCATAGATTTTACCCACCGACATTTTACCCTCGTCTAATTCTGAAACAGTAAATTATAATATATGTGAGAGATAAACAGGACTGTATGCATAATCTTTTTCTTTCTTTTTTAGCATTCACCGGCTGTAAACTCCAGCAGAAAGATCTGGTTGTTCATCCACTTCTGGACTTTGGTCTTGTTCCAGAACTTGAGTTTTGCAAGCACATACATTTTACTGACGTGGCTTACTTTAAGCAGACTCTTGGCTCCTTGACTCTCAGGTATAGGGCTCCTTGACTCTCAGGTATAGGCCTCCTTGACTCTCAGGTATAGGCCTCCTTGACTCTCAGGTATAGGCCTCCTTGACTCTCAGGTATAGACCTCCTTGACTCTCAGGTATAGGCCTCCTTGACTCTCAGGTATAGGCCTCCTTGACTCTTAGGTATAGGCCTCCTTGACTCTTAGGTATAGGCACTCTGACTTAAAAGCAATGCCCCTAATTAATTGACTTTCATAAGATGCTTGTTAGGGAAGCAGTGGGTCTGTCAGTAGGCAATTGGGGATGAGGGGGTTGGAACCAACACCAACACTGTATGTGTGCATAATAATAATAAAAAATAAATTAAATTAAAAAAAAAAGGTTTCTGTAGCTAAGTGGTTAAGGTCCTGCTTCACGGTCTTAAGGTTTTGGGGGTTGTTTCATGAAATCTGCAATTCGGTTCAGGGATGCAGTTTTTATAGATATCTTTGGGGATCAACACTAGAGCTAGGAGTTCATGCCTTGTGCGATGCTCGTGCCAGCGGGCTGGCTATTTTGCTGAAAGAGACCAAACCGATATGGAATGAAACCCAGTACAATAAAGTTGATTCTCTCAAAATGAAATCTTTTGAATAAAATAAATAGCCAAGTGTTGATTCACTCTTTCTGTCCAAGCAACTCACCATTTGTTTGCTGATTTCCAGTGGGTGGTCAGGGTAAAGATTCACAACCCTAGCATTCAGGACATGCCCATATTAGCTCCATCTCCCTCCCTAACAACCAGCAAAGAGTCTCCATACCAATGGTACCTAAAGTCACCCAGTTAACTACTCGTCTTACCTTTCCCACAGAGTCTCAAGTGGTGCCTAGAGCTTGCAGACACTCACCATTGCAACATTCCTGCCATGGGTTTTCACAGAGGAGACTATGACATAGATAATCCAACAAGAGACAGATGACACAAAAACTGCAGGGAATCCAAGAAACAGCAAAAAATAATACAAGAAACAAACCATCATTTGGAGGCATCAGCAGATCCATCATCTTCTTCCCTTGAACAGGCCAGAGTTTTCTGATCGTCTCTCTCAACTCATTATCTCTTCTGTCCATTATTTCCGCTGGAATCAAAGAAGAAAACATAACAACTGACTGAAAACTTTCATTCACTCTCTTCATCCTGATCACAAGAACAAAGATTTGCATTAAAGGGGTTAATGTATTATAAAGCAAAACAGTGGTATCCTTAATCACTTTAAATATTCCCAAAGGTAGATTACACCACATAATTTACACAATTATTTAAAATGTACGCTTAGAATATCCTAAGCTTAACAATCTATACTGTCGTCTGATATAATTAATGTATAATCTATGCACCATTAAAAAACCATTATTAAATGAAAAAACAAATTTATGACACATCTGGGTAAACTGAATATCACTGTTACAGCTATTTCTACTACTTGACGAAGCTCCCACCCTGGCTGTTGCCGGGAAAGGCATATATATATATATATATATATATATATATATCACAAACTAGCTGTAAACCACAACAACATGACAACCATCCTTTTAAGGGTAAATGCAAAAGAAGAGGAACTAAATACAACAAAACAACACACACACACACACACACACACACACACACACACATACATATACAAGAAGGTTATCTATTCCCCTGCAAGAGATTTTCCCACATAAACACAAGCCAACTTACCAGGTCCCATCTTGATAATGAGACATTCCCTGATCAGAGCAAACAGAGTAGTAGTAAAGTGGACTGTCCCATCGTCTGCCACTGGCATGTTCATACGTATCAGTTTCTGCAAAGACAAGCCAGAAAGTTAGTTGTGTATCCTTTACAGGACATTACAGAACTGACTGCAGCATTTTCTGACTGTGATTTGACTTGGCAATTTTACTTTTAGTAGTTTGCCCCCCTTCCCTTATTTGTTTTTGTTCTGAACATTCAGTTCCTAATACTACTACCAAAACCAACAAAAGGCAGTCTGCTGCCAAATCGTTCACATATACTGTCTACAAAGCAGAGCATATTCATGTTTTGTACATGGTTTCTAATTTTCCTCCAGTCCTAGAAAATTTGCAGCATGCCCCCAAAAGGGACATAAACCACATACGACAAATTTCTAGCCAGATTTCTTAGACATGTTCATACCACATATAATTAATATAACAACATGTCATATATTGATAGACATACATAGACAATAGCTGATTACAGATTAATTAATGCCCTCCGAGACATGGGAAGGGTGGAGGACTCTTAGGCCAGTGAATCCACATCACTCGCTAGAATGATAGACTTGGGAGATTGGCATAGCAAAAAATAAGATGCACACCAGGCACACCAGAGGACTTTTTAATTAACATAGAAATGGTACTATTTATTAGCCACTGGATGCTGGGGGTTCATACTGAGGGGAGAACCTGAGCACCTATAGACATGTCCGGAGTGCAATGATGATAACCCAACTGACTGATCACAGATTAGTACATGTTTGGAAATGAGAGAGCCAAGCATTAATTTAAAAGCAAAATCTCCCAAACAAAGATAACAAAATTAGCAAAATATATTTTATGTTGTTATTTATATGTATTTTTTTCATCAAAAAGTTGTGATGCATAGGCACTGATGTCCAAGTTTACTTGCTCAGTATTCTTCTCTGAAGAATATGAGCAATGTTCAAGGAACATTGGGGGTAGTCGAAAAAGAGGAGGGCAAAGAAGAACCTGGAATGACAACATCAAGAAATGGACAGGACTAAGTTCTCAAACACTTATTCATCAAGCAGAAGACAGAGAAAGATGGTGGGTTTTATGTTCTAGTGCTTCCATCAATACACCTCCATGACCCTAATGGGTCAAAGGTTATGTAATGTTATGTTATTCTTCTCTGACTCCTTGAGTTACTGAGTATTAAAATGCTATGATATAGTTCACTGATGAAACACTCAAGGTGTTAAACAAAAAAACAAAAACAAAACACAAGAACAACCTGTTTGTCAAATGCCTAATTCACATAAATAAACACAGGCAGAACCCTACAGGCAGTAGAAATATTATACGTAATAAACAAACAGTTAGTGTATTAATCAGCACTCAAAGAAAGATAGGACAAGTAAGTAGTTTTTGAACTATAAAATGTTTTTACAGTCCATGTACTGAAATCTCAAGTATCTACAAAGGAATGCTCTATGACTATCAACACAATTATACTACCATCAAGTTCTGTGCCCTCTTCATAGCCATTTCTATGTTTTAACTCTTAACCTCAAAATGGGTCATGGCCTTCTGACTGACAATTCTACCATATAAACAGTTGAAATGAGGCACAAATACAATTACAAAGTCACATGCTGTCTTATGAGTTGGGTGTCTTGAGTAAGACCATAGTTTCCAAAAAATGAATAGAGAATGGTCTCTGCTGTTATAAAGCCTGCCAAAGACTAGATTTTTCAAGTTTTTCTAAAGATGTTATAAGGGTCCTCTGGGAGTAAGTAAACAGTGTGGAGGCACAAACAGATCATCATGGTCTGAAGAGAGAGCTGCAGCGTGAAGTGACCGGGGGGGATATGGCTGACACTCATCACTGTGGGGAAGGGTGAAACAGACATACAATCAGACTGTTACTGGTACATTCAGAATTGAAACTGCACTTGCTGCTGAAGATGGGGACACAGCGTTTGTGGGAATGTCCTAAGCATTGTGATGTCGATTCTGAACTCAAGCTTTGCATGAATACTAGAAAATATTTTCTAAAAATACTGACCAAAGATAAAGGCAACTCACTCTATATGCCAGTTTGTACGGACACTTTCTACCAAAACCCACTGGTGGCTCCATGGTTCTCAACATCTCATACATGTCGGTGTAGTGGATTCTTCCTCTGTGGAACATGACCAGGTTAGTTATTGTCTGTGCCTTTGATATTAAAATAATCTAATGACTTACGCTATCAATGGGATGTTTATTAACAAGACTATATTTACTTGTTCATTATATTGAGAGGTGAGTTGAACAGACCCTTTCTGTGCTGCCTTTTCCCCCCAGTGTAATCACTTTCATCATCATTATCATCAGCACCCACTTCTGCTGTGAAAAAAATTAGTTGCGTATCCTTTACAGGACGTTGCAGAACATCCCCAGCATTTTTTAACTGTTGCGGTTTTTCTAGGCAAATTTACATTCAGTAGAATGCCATTGCTTTCTGGAGGGTCGGCTTCTCAATACCACTGTCAAAACCAAAGCAAGGCACAACGTTCGCAAAGCTTAAGCCACAGACACCTGTTAAACAACATGGGAAAAATAGTTTGCTAGCAGCATACAATGGGCAAGACTGGCAATTACCAAAATTCTTTGTGGATGTGCAATGTCGTTAATCTTATCAATCTATCTTCTTTCTGGATGGCTTCATGCTCATAATTTTTGGGGGCATGCACCTGCTTTTGGTAGTTGTTGGGGCTGCACTCTAAGGCACTGACCAAATCATTTGATGTCTCTCTTTACTACCCCTTGGGCCTCTGACTGAAAGAGTTAAAGTGGGATGGCCAGTTCAATCCTTTGTGCCTTTCCTTCCCAACAAGTATGTATTAAAAGTCAACTAGTTAGGGTTGCTTCCTTTGAAGTCGCAGTGAATCTGCTGGCTCAAAAATTGTATGTTGCACATTTCACTGAGCCTAGGTTGAGTCTATAGACAGGCTGGTTTTAAAAAAAAAATTTGACTGCTGGGGACTGAACACAGATCACCATATTGGTGGGCAATGTGCTCATCAACCACTATGGCTCTTTTCACTGTTAGACATATTAAAACAGATAAATATAAATGACCAATAAGATTCTTTCAATGGAAGTTGACAAGTATGGAAAAGGAAGCAGTGACTCACGTAGCACCAGGGTCATAGTTAGACCAAACACGGATGTACTCGTCCAAATGATGGGGTCCCAGGATGGAGGAGTCTCTAGTTAAGTAGTCAAAGTTGTCCATGATGACTGCCACAAACAGGTTGAGCATCTGTGACATGTTTAACAAACAACTGTCACGTCATCTCAGCGCTAATGCTGACATACATTCAGTCACGATGAGTCATTGAATACATTTACATACAATTAATCTGATGAATAATGTGTGTGTTTTGCTCTAAGACATGGAACGGAAGTTTAATGCATTTGAAAACAAATGCATAAGGAAGTTGATGAACACTAAATTTGATAAACTTAATAAAGGCAAATAAAAAATAGAAATGTTCGGGCAACTGCTCGTATCAACAGTTATAAGGCAAAGAAGATGGCAATATCTGTTAGACACGTCCGGAGGAGAAATGAGCGAAGAATGATCAAACAGGCACTTAAATGGGAAACAAATAAACTACAGAGATGATGACGCCCAAAAGAAAGGCCAAAGAAGCTGTACTGGACTCAAACGATGATAGCAAAACAATTGCACAGGATAGAAGAGAATGAAATAACAAACTACAATCTCTCTATGAGGTCTAACACCACAACAGGATGATGATGATGATGAATATTTCAAATATTTTTCCAATTCGTAGACTCCTTAGTGGACATTTCTCCATTCTCATAGGGCACTGTCAAAATGCTTTATTTTGTAATTGATATTGTCATGAATCCTTTTCGTGCACATGTGTTTCAATGTTGTATAACTTAAATGTTGATGTTACCATTGAAATGTAATGAACTAGCATTTATCTAAAATCACAAGAGTGAAGATAATTTTGGCAGTCTTTTCACGTGTGGTTAATTTGAATCTATATTACACACAGCTAACACACTGAAATGTGTTTAACTCCTAGGAAGCTAATGCGGAGATTTATCCTGGAGAGTAAATCCCTGAGATTTGTTATTTGATAGCGCCCCAGAAATATTGTTATCATTCTGGGTGTGCCCATCATTCCAAGCATTAATTCCAGAACTCGTTCTGTCAAACTGATTGTCATTTTGAGTCTGCACGAGAGATGACAACAGACATAGAAGACTCAACTATCATTACAGGACGTGAGTAGAGGAAGGCAGGAAATATAATGACTTCAATATGAGATGAAGTCCTTCCAGACTGGACAGGAGAGAATGTGAAAATTAGGGAGATATGAAATGTTTTAGTAGAATAGACATGTTTGGTGTAAGTCTAGATACTACACATATTCACTTGTTTCTTTACCACAGTTCCCACACTGGGCAGGGACAAGTCGGAACCCATTGTTTGCAGACCGCCTGCGTGTAACGACTGCTTGAAGCAGGGAGGGTGACAAACTGGAAAAGGATAGGCTAGGGCTCAAATCGAAAACTGCCCAAAGTTTATTTTCTCCAATTTTATCAGTTATGTAAAACTTTCAAATGAATTAATTTCATCAGTAACACCATATTCACTCTACTAGCCTAAACACGTTCATTTTACTTTTGGTTAGATTTATTCAATAAATCTTGTTCATGTTGTTATAAAATAGTTAAGTAAATTGTGTACTTAGGTTCAAGTGTCTTTGTGCATACTAGTTTACTTCAGCTCACAAATATATAAATCACTTGATGGGGGCTTTTGTTATAAATTAATACCAGGAGAGGAGAAAGTCAGAGGGGTTAACTGTGTATCTTGATATTATCTCATTGGGTTCATCTTTATATTTATCTATCCCTTCTCCTGTAATGGAAAGTGACCTGAGTGCGGCATTTTTGACATGGAAAACTGCACTGAAGATTGCACAGGACAGGAAAGCATGGAAAGTCCTCTCTGAAGCCTCGTGTGCCACTGGGCATAAAGAGATGATCCCTTCTCCTACTCCTGTGGATACAAGTACAGCTACTTTCATTTGATGGAACGAGCCACTCGCTGTTTTCTTGGTTATCCTGTGTCTAGGATCAACATAGCTTAGATATTAGTCCAGTTTCTCACGTGGGTGGGCTCGGTTAGGGTTCAAACCCACACACTCACTATATAAGTGAATATACCCACGGGGGTTGGCGACACATGTGCTCGCACAATTCTAGGCCTTACAAAAGCCTGTCAAGAATCTTCTCTCCTTGTCTTCTTCTGTCCCTCAATTCACTAACTTTTCCTGTAGTCAGAATACGTTCCAGCTTTTCTTTTCTCATAATTTGGCCAGACATGAAGTCTGCTTCTTTCTGATGAATTATGACTGATCATTTTTAGACGTATATAAGGACAAACATTTTTCATCAGTGTTGAAACTAGAGGAAAATAAATGTAACATAATGTCCAGATTTTGTTTTTAAAAATGTAAATTTTTTTCCCCTCAGTAAATAAGTACCCACAAATTTTGACTAGGCATCCTAATGATTCTTTAGCCACATATCAGAGAGTAAGACAACAGGTGCCCATGAATTTGTATTTTTTTTAATTAGGAGAAATAAATGCAATCATCATCATGTAGCAGGTCCTTTGCAGAACATCGCACTCATCACGGTCTGCCCTAACAAAACTCGGTCTTTCAGCAAGTCTCCAGCCTCATGTACTTTCCTATTCAAGCAGTCATTTATATTCTGTGCCCATCTTTGTGTTGGTCGGCCCCTGCCACTCCTTCCAGGTATCGTGTCTTCTGCTATTTTTTTTCCAATCCACCATGGCGCTTGATATGACCAAAATATTTCAGCTTCCGAGACAAGATGCTGTTTACCTGCTAATCTTCCTTGATGTTCAGATCTGTTAAAATGTCAGTATTTCTCCTCTTCTTTGTTCGTGATATTCTGATAATCTTTCTATAGCATTTCAGCTCAAAAGCCCCTATTTTCTTTCGTATAGACTGGTTGACAGTCCATGACTTACATCCGTACGTTGCTACAGGGAAGATGAAGGTTCGTGAAATTTTAATTCCGATTTCTTTGCTGGTGTTTAACAGTAGACTTTTAATGCTGTTTAATCTTTGCATTACTATGGCTATCCTCCTTTTGATTTCTGTCAAACAGTTTTCTTAGCTATTTATTATAGAGACTATTTTGTGACATTTTCAATTTCTTTATCATTTATTTTAATTTTTGGGTCACAGCCAGTTTTGTCTGTGGGAATTATTTTCGTTTTCTTAAAATTCAAGAATAGGTTTTGATTTTCATTGTGCTTTTGGACTGACATGATTAAATTTTTTATTCCCTTTACACCATAAATGCAATACGGTGGTCAAATTTGCCTAAAATCTAAGGATAAATAAAATACAAGATAATGGTCATATTTAGTTAAATAAAAAGAAAAACATAATAATGCAACATAATAGTCACTTTTAGCTAATCAATAAGGGGAAATATTGCAACATAATGGTAATGTTTAGTTAACAAATTAATAAAAAAAACATAGTAGTCAGGTTTAACTGAAAATGTATCAATGCATTATAATGGTCATGTGGTATTTATATAAAACTTCCATGATCCCCTCTATTCTACTGATTTTTTACAAAGCAGAAAAACATTCACAATTCTGAATAACACACTTACCAAGAATGAACATAGGAAGATGAAAGAAACAAAGTAGATGTATGCAAAGTTGCTGCCGCAGCCACTGTCGGCCATGTCTGGTGGGTCATCATGGCGAATAGACTCTGGGTCACATTGTTTAAATGCCAGACAGGACAGCATGATTTGTTGCCAGGCTTCTCCAGTCGCACATCTGTCAACAGGGACAATTATAAAGTAGCTTCAGGAACTATTCAAAAATTAAAAGGTAACAGTAATTCAATAGTTAGTTAGTCGACAGATTATAATCAATACACGTCGAACCACTCAGACCATAAGTGCTCGGATCCCCTCCCTAGCAAATCCTGCAGTGTGTAGCGGTGTACGACACGAGTTCTGTGTTGGTTTATTTTTCTTCTTTGGCTACCTGTGTAGTGTTCTTGTTTGGTGACACCCCATTTAACTTGTTGTTCTTGCAGTCTGACCATGGTTGCAGATTCAAAGTTTTCAATTGGTTCATGCCATCGTAAATCTGGTAGAGCATTCATTATATCAGCCTGGTCTATGACTTGTTTGGGTTTCACAGTAACATTACCTGCAAGCCTATCAGCTTGCTCATTTCCTTGTACCCCAACATGTCCTGGCATGAAAATGAAACTAATCCTTGTCAGCCATGAACATTGTAGAGCCCCTAACAGAGCCAACAACATCAGGCAAAGCCTTCAGACCCAGTCATTCTCTGTCCTCCTGAGCGTACTCATCGAGTCACCGAGAAAGCATGCCCCAGTGAAAGTCTGTGTCTGTACAGTAATTCACTGTGTTGGATACAAATGCCAGAAGGATAACTTCAGTGTCAAGATCCTGGTAGGGGCAAAGATTGAGTAAATTTTGGACTGCCAAAATGCAAAATGTGGTGTACACAAAGACCACAGAAGCAACATGGACTACATAAGGTATTGGAAATGAGCTCAGGTTATGAGCAGACTGAAGACAGTCATTTACCAAGCATCCGATCTGATGGTCTGGACAACTACAATGTTGTGATAGCACATGGAGGTGGAGTAGTGGTTGCAGTTATTGTAACTGTGATAGTACAGCTAGCAGGAGTGGTGACATCTGAATATGTAAATTAACTGATTTCTCTAATAGAATTAGATATTGGTTTAAAAAAAATTAAAAACAATGTCTCTGTTTGTTATTCCTAGCACCTTGTGCACTGTCATGAGACAGCCTGTTTTCGTGGATGTCCAGGGATCAAAAGAGTCTGGGAAGTCACAGAAAAGAGTTATGCTCTAGCCTGGAAATGACTAATGAAAGTAGAACATTATATACAACAATGAGAAGGAGACAAATAAAGTCCTTTGGTCTTGTGATGAGAAGAGGAGCACTGGAAAATATTGTGACGACTAGAAAGATCACTGGTAGAAGAGGCAGAGGCAGACCAAGAAAAACGATGGTGGGTGGCTTGGAATATCATCAGTGGAATTGATCCAGAACACCACCAGAAAGGCTAACCTGGTCAACAAATGCCTGTAGAAGTTGGATGTGTTTGCCAAAAGGTGCAAATATCGCAGCCATGCTGTCAACAGGCACAACGCAATTACATCTTCAGTTGAACGCAGGAGAAGAAGAAGATCCAGAACACCAAAGACTGATGAACGCCAACGCCAGCTGGCAAGGCACTTGATGGTGATGATGATGATGATGAGGAGGATGGCTTAGTAGTCCAAACTATTTTGCCTAGATCATCATAAGACGTGAATGGAAACATTAGGGAGGGGGAGACAGGTTAACTGCCAGAAGTGAGAATTTATGCCAGGGCCACACACACATGCCCTGACCTTGTCAACTGCCTCTTGTACTTTGACATTCAGCAACAAGCCAACAATTTATTAAGAGTAAGTAAGAGTAATCCAGAGGCAGATATATATGCCAAGGAAAATCAGGGTTTTCAGTCTTAAGGTGTTGTCAATGAAACAGCTGTTTGAGACAGTGTTAAAACAGCAACTATATGGGGCCAAAATAGTTCAGCAATCACTCACCTGAATAGCAAAATCAGTGACTGTGGGAACGTGCGGAAGTTGTTGTGGCGGTTGATGGCCGTCTTGGAGTCCAGTTTGATGCTACCAAAAATCTAACATTACATAATCGAAGAAGGACATTGTCAGTCTACTTATATTGTTGATAGATCACATGGTAAAATGATATGAATGCTGGTATTTACTGCCCATTCTGATCACTCCGAGGGCTGTGTAGAACATACGGGCTGTGAGCCTTATGATTTAACTTTCAGTGCCAAGCAATACTTGGTGTGTAAATGACTCTATCTTTTGATTTTACTCCTTAGCGTAATGTCCTCTCTTATTTGTGTGTGTGTGAGTGTGTGTATGTGAGTGAGTGTGTGTGTGCATACGTGCGTGCTTGCATGCGTGCATGCATGTATGTGTGTGTGTGTGTGGGTGTGTGTGTGTGTGTGTGTGTGTGGGTGTGTGGATATTTGGTCAAAACATACTAGAGAAATCTGGCCTTCCCAAATGGACTCTGCCACTTTGTATATTGCCACTTTGGGTGTAATTAATTCATCATGTAGTATTTTCCCCCCGCTCCATGCATCTCTCGTTAAACCTTCTGGTACTGAAAGAGAGGCTCCATGACATGGGCGGTCACCATTAACCGTGCAGGTTAGGACTGTTATTTTTGCTAAACAGAAATAAATCTCCATTCCTTAATAAAGAATCGAACCTGAGTTTCCCAGATGAAAACCCAGTGCTCTAGCCTCTTGGCTTCCTATGCCTACATTCACACTGAGTGAATGGAGTGATGGCTATGTGAGTGTATGTATGGATGGGTGAATGGACTGGTTGTTGAGTGAGTGTATGTATGGATGGATGAATGGGCTGATAGTTGAGTGACTCTACATATTGATGGATGGGTGAATGGATTGATGGTTAAGTGAGTGTTTGTATGCATTGATGGGGGAATGGTTGAGTGACTTTATACGTATTGATGAATGGGTGAGTAGGCTGATAGTTGGGTGAGTCTATGTATTGATGGATGGGTGAATAGGCTGATAACTGAGTGAGTCTATGTATTGATGGATGGGTGAATAGGCTGATAATTAATGAGTCTATGTATTGATGGATGGGTGAATAGGCTGATAATTGGGTGAGTCTATGTATGGATGGATGGGTGAATAGGCTGATAATGAGGTGAGTGTGGATGGATGGGTGAATCGGTGAACGGACTGATGGTTGAGTGTGTGTATATCAATGGATGAATAGACTGTTGGTTGACTGAGTGTTATGTATGGACATATGAATAAATGAATGGATGGATGAATAACTAAATAAAAAGATATGTCATCCATGCTTTATGTTTTTAATTGACTATGTTCATATTATGTATATTATTACGCACATCATTTGATTTAATTGTTTCAAGAACCAACATCACAGCACTCTATGCATTCCCATGAGCATTCTGTCCCCATCTTCAGCAGTCAACACAGAGTTCCAATACCAATGGTGCCAGTTACAGTCTGATTATATGTCCATCTTGCCTTCACTCTGAGTGTTGGATATCGGCCAGAGACTCTCGTCACTCCTCGCTGCATCACTCTCACCAGACTGTGATGATCCATTTGCTGCTCCAATTGTACATGTGCTCTCATAAGACCATTACCATGTCAGCCTTATCATGCATAAGTATTTCACTAAGTTGTGCAGAGCCACCCAGTCTGTCTGCCTGTTACTTTCATAACCCACCAGCATGCCCCAGAGACAAGATGCAGACAATACTTTTCACCCCTGACCTCCAAAGTGAAGCCTGTCATTGTGCATGAAGCATGCCTGTTCTCACCTTCACCAGCATGCTTTCTGATTCAGTTACAATCAATATGTATATATATGTGTGTGTGTCTGTCTATGTGTGTGTGTCTGTCTATGTGTGTGTCTGTCTGTCTGTGTGTCTGTCTATGTGTGTGTGTCTGTCTGTCTGTCTGTGTGTCTGTGTGTCTGTCCATGTGTTTGTGTCTGTCTATGTGTGTGTGTCTGTCTGTCTGTGTGTCTGTCTATGTGTGTGTGTCTGTCTGTCTGTGTGTCTGTCTCTGTGTGTGTTTGTGCGTGTGTGTGTATATATATACAAATATCATGTTCTCTAGCCAGCAGAAAGCTGCAGTGGCCACTTCTACCTCAATTCTTAAGCTGGATGTTGTGGTTGCTATGAACATAACATGCTATATAGATAAAATACCATTAATGTGCAAAAGATGTATATCTGGAAGGACCAAATGTATGACTACCTGTGTACCCAATTTGGAACCCTCTGAAAATAAAGTTAGTTCATTTATTTGTTCTTTAGAGTGCCTGACTGGTCATACGGCTAGTCACTCACTAACAATACCTCACAAATCATGAATTTTATACCTCTACTGATGGCCCGCAAGGATTTATAAAACTTCCTGCACAAACTTAATTTTAAAAAATGGAGCCATTTCCACAATGGAGGTTGGCTGCAATATATCCATAGCTGATTATGAGAGTATTACATGTTGAGGTCCCAAACTCTTCCACGGTGCGACTCTTGTACCACTGTTGGAAAATTGCAAAAAATGTTTATTTTCAAAACCGTCCAATGTGGAAATCAACCCATGGGAATCGAACCCTGTTAAATTACAAGGATTGCATTATGAAACCATTTCACTAACTTTTAAGCCACAAAAGCTGAATGATGGAGTATAAACCTGAAACCATAACCCTTAGAGAATGAAGCAAATGGTTTAACTTCTTCATCACCGAGACATGGCTCTGTAAATCCAAGAAATATAAGCCCAGGGAAAGGGCAGGTTACCTTCTGACAGGAGACTCACCTGCATGCCAATGATTGCGTAGATGAAGAACAGCATGAGGATCAGCAGACACACATATGGCAAGGCCTGTGGAGAAGGAGAAATAAATCACTGGTCACATAATTCGACATACTGTCAAGCTTGGAGGCAGATAAGGGAGTCAAAGGAGAGGTAGATGGGAAGAGAGGGTAACATCTCTTTCCTTGCTTGTTTTGTTCTACATAGGGTAAGTAGAAAAGAATGGAGGGAATAGAGATAAAGCTTGAAGCAATTACAAAAGACAGATTCAAATGGAAAGGAGTCTCATTGTGCATGTATTAAACTTGAGGAAAACTTAAGGAAGACGATTATTTATTAACTAGTGGAAGCTGTAACAATCAAAACAAACCCTCCTGCATTGTGCAGACAAAAAGAGCATACAGTAACTACCATGGTAATCATGTGGTTTATCTGGAATTTCCAGCAGAGGGATGTATAGCGTAATTAGCTACTGTGATTTGTATTTCAGTGAAAAGATTCCGTTTTGTGCTTCATTATATGTGGATGTAACTCTGTGGTAATACACCTGAAGAGATACAGTGAAATAAATCTAGTAATAAATTGTTCAGTGAACTGTTTGTGTCCACATTATTCAACTTTACAATGGGAACAATTTCTGAAAACACTAGGTATGTTGAGTGCGCCTCAGTTTTATCACTGAAGAATCCCATTTGACGTTTTGCACAATCATAAATTTGTTGCCCATATTACTATCCTTTTTTCACAGAACTTGATAACATTTGTTTTTTGTTCTCCAAAATATTATGTTATTATGAGACTATAATGTAAATAAAGAAAGTAACATTCTTTTCCTTCTTCTGCTGTTATATTTTTTCTTCTTCTTTAATCATCATGACAAGGACAGTGGTCCAAAATTTCCCATCCTTCACAATTCACTCTGTAGTGTTGGTTACATGGATCTATTGCCAGCTACAGTCTGTAAGACTCATTCTGTTTCAGTCCCAAGTAATTATGACCTACACTTCTTCTATCCCAAATAGGTGAGCTTAAAAGCAATTAATATGAAGAAGCTCAACAAAGATACTTTGAGCCAGAGTTAGTTTAAACTAATCATCCAGATATAAAGAGTCAATTTCTTTTTCTTCTTCTTCTTCCTTGCGTTCACTGACTGTATTCTCTGGAAGAAAATTCTGGATGCTTGTCCACATCTGAAGTCCTGTTCCAGAAACAAAGTGTAGCATGCACATCTGTTTCACAGATCTGACTCATTTGCATGCAGACTGTTGGTTTCTTGCCTCTCAGGAAGATGCACTCTGATTTCAAAAGAAGCTCCTAATTAGTCAACTCTTATGACATGCTTTTGGGCAGGCAGTAAGTCTATTCTTGTTTTCCCCACAATAGTGCCCCGAAACTTACACAGGGAAAAGAGTTAATATAGCACCTGTCTCTGATAGACAACAAAAGAACATTGTATTATCTTCGGAAGAACCAAGAAAATGATAGTGTGGTTTAGTAGTGAAAGAGTTACATATACGGATTCTTCTTAGCTGTATCATGTAGCAGGGCAGCCAACACTGTAATACCATTTCCTATCAGTCATAACAACTTAGCCGTGGCGTAGCGGCTAGACGCTCTTATGCGGATCAGAAGGTCGTGGGTTCACTCCCTGGCGGAGCGGGACTTTTTCCAAAAATGACCTTGACTCCCAGGTCGACCCAGTCTTGAGTGGGTACCGGGTGCAGTCCTGGAAAGTAAAAGTGGCTGGCATGACTCTGCCACATCAGCCATCCTGTACCGACTGGTCTATAAAACTATAGGTCTAGCCCTATATGCCCTATACGCCTAAAGGCATGAAAAAGGAACCTTTACTATTTGTTAACTTATCATATTTTATATGCGTGCCTGTTTTCGTTACCGCACTGATTGCTTAGTTACAGAAAATACAAACTACAAAGAAACGTTACCTTGAAGGATTGAAAGAAGGTCCACAAAAGCAGACGGATGGTATACCCTTGTCGCAGCAGCTTAACCAACCTTGCTGCCCGAAACAGTCGGAAAAACACAATGCTAAACTTTGGTTTCTGTAAAATAGGAAGTGATAATTTCTTTAATGTGTGCAGCTTAAACAAATTAATGATGCTTTAAACTGAGTTGCATGTCAATTACAGTACATCCCAAAACAACCTGATACATGTTGGCTGATTGTAGTTTTACTAGATTTTACATTCAGTATTTTGCTGGCTGAATAGTTAAGAATGCTAGGCTTTCATACGGCAGACACACGTAATTGATGCATGGCAAGCAAGATGGTATCAAGGCTCTTTGGAGGGAGCAAACAGTGCAGAGGTACAATTAGATTTTCATAGTCTGATCAAAATGGTGCAACCGGGAGTGACTAGGGGATCTAGCCGACACTCCACACTAAGAGGACAAGCAAGAAGACTTACAATCAGACTGTTGCCGGTACCATCAAACGGAACTGTTTACTAGCTGCTGAAGATGGGGACAGAGCACTTATGGGAATGTCCTGAGTGCTTTGATATCAGTTCTTAAAACTCAAATCTTCTCAACAGGTGGTCCACCTTCAAATCCTCTGTAAGGTTTATTTTTTTCCTGTCGGGGCAAAAATAAAATCCAAAACCGCACAGTCTGTGGCAGCAGAACTAGCCATGCTGCCCTTAATTTTCATCTTCAGACACAAAGACCTCCCTCCTCCCCCTCCCAACCACGTACATCACAAAAGTGGTACAGGCAGTAACTGGTGCTTCTGTTCGGTGGGTACTCCATACCACTGTTGACATCAACATAATGAAATCTGCTGCCAAATGGCTGGCAGCTGGAATTAAACCTAGTGTCTATATGAGTTAACACATGAGGGAGGAGATATTCAGGAACAAATGTAGGTAATCTATGGAGACTTGCTGACATGCCGGTTCATGAAGACAACACAACTGGTAACCTGAGCATATGAAACCAGTTGAGTTGTTTGAGTTGAGTCAAGAATTGACATCACAGCACCAAGGTGCCTCATTTTCTCCAGGCCATAATAATTGTCTTTCTCTACTGATTCCGTTGCTTGTTCCCAAATGGCCTTAACCACATCTGCTTTGTCATGTATCAATTCATCACCCAGTGGTGCAGATCTAGCCAATCTGTCTGCCTGTTCATTAGCCACCACGCCAGCATGACTTGGAGAAAAGATCCAAAGTATGCTCACTACCCATGACCTTTCCAGTGAAGCTTGCCACTCTGCTCGAAGCATCCCTGTCTATGAAACTAATCACAAAGAAGAAGAAACCTAGTAGTATGGAGTTACAAACCACACGCATAACTCTGAAGCCCCAGAATTATACTTTTACATAAAGAAATGAGTAAACTGCCAATAACTGCCTTTATTGTACCACTTTTGCACTGTAGGTCTTTGAGCCTGAGGATTTACGGCTGCATGGCTAGTGCTGTCGCCACGACTGTGCAGGTGAAGATATTGTTTTGCCCCTAGCAGAAAATAATCCCCAGCCTTACTGAGGATTTGAACCAAGGTCTCCCGCTTGAAAGCCCAGTGTTCTAACTATTCAGCCAGCCGCTCCTCTAGAAAATGAGTACTTACTTCATATAAGTAAAACTTCTTCTTCTTCTTGTTCACCGGCTGTGAATTCCGGCGGTAAGTCGCGGTTGTTCGTCCAAATGGACTTTTGGCTTTTACCTCGTTCTGAGTTTTGCGTGTACATCCGTTTTACTATCTTATTTGTTTGCAGTTCTCGTTCCCTGCCTCACCGGCAGATGTACTCCGACTTCGAGGGAAGACGTCATGCCTATTTCTAGGTTGACTGTGGCCATTGTTTTGTGTGGGTCGAGATGTTGCCTCATTTGTGTGGTGTCCTCTTTGACCTTTAGCAGGTGTGGCCCCCGGAAAATCCTCCTAAGGCAGCCCTAGGTAGAATTGTCAGCCCTCAAGGGAAGGCAGGGGCAGATCATGGGCATTCCCCGCCATCCAAGGAGGCTTCCATAAATGCAGAGCCGACACATGATGCTCTGGTTCTGGGCTCACCCAAGGAATCGTCACGTCCTGCCCATGACTGCTTAACCTCACAACCGTGTATTGAGCTCTCGGGAGATCAGTGGGGAGTAGCCCGCAGGTCCAGGACTTTTGTGGCCACACAAATGGGTACATTCTTTTTTCATCATACGTTAGACACCTTTAACGTTGTTTCAACTGTGCCCTTGGCACGACAGAATGGGGAAGCAACATGCGTCAGGCGTGGCTTCGCCTGTTCGGTCCCAACACTCGGGCGAGTGGGACCAGTGGATACGGACATTTGGACTTTTCCTAATCGGTACGAATTATGGTCGTCGGACTTTGAGCTTGCATGTGTGCCGTGGGATTTAACTTTGTCATACATTATTTCCTAGCCAGCAGATTAAAAGTTGCTGCAGTGGTGTACCTCAGCGCGGTGACGACAACGCTGAGGATTGACAGAGGATGTACGTACGTAGGATCTTGCTGCGATAATTCACCCACAAGAGATGTTACCCGTCTTGGCTGCGGGTAAATCTCTCGGTCAAGGGTTGAGTCTCAGCAGCACAGTTTTCCCTTCGTTCCAGACTTTTAACCGAGAGTTGTCATTTGATGGTACATTTGGCAAGCAATCCTTACTCATGTTCCGAATGAGTTTTGATAGACTTTTCACCCATGCGTTTGGGGGCGGGCTGATGAGAGCCAGAAAGGACACTACACCTCTAGGGGCCGCCAGCTCCGAGATCTCCTGCCAACTCTGTTAATGCTCATTTGAGACATTATCCGTGGCGCAGGACGGGGACGTGCAGCAGGAGTCTTGCATGAGGTTCCGTAAAACCAGAACAGTGAAGGACTGGCGCCCGAGTGGGGTACGGAATATCTCCTTATACACATCACATCAGACTTAACTTCCCCTCATGCCTGTGACCGAAATCACCGCGCCACATATAAGTAAAACTGAGAGACAGGAATATTTTTTACTTAAAGCATATAATGCTGACAAATAAGGAAATATGGATTTGTTAAAATTAAATAACACATTGTAAAATAAATATGACCAAACAGAATAATAAGGCATCTAAACACTGCAGTAACTGTGGCATAATGGTAAGCCTGTTTACTTGGCAAGACATTAAAAAAAAACACTGCCACATCTGGATTTATTGTATATGGTTATTTTGGCACCTCACTATACCTATGTGCCAGTCTTGACCTCTAACGGTGTGCATCATGGGTAATGACAACAGCTCCCAGAAACCAGTTTCAGGCCTCAGAAATAAGATATGTGAGAAAGTTGGTCCACGGGACAAGAAGGAACACAGTTCTAAATCAGACAATACATCAAAATCTTGAAACCCAGGCCTTACAAACTCGAGCGGATCGGTCACAGTTATGATGGTTTGGACAGGTATGCAGAATGAGAGAAAATCAGCCACCATGGCAGGTGTGAGAGGCCAAGAACCAGGGAACCAGACCTCCAGGGCGACCCAGGGTCTGCTGGGAAGACAACACCTGGCAGTCCCTAACTGACAGAGGAGTGGAATGGAACAAAGCCAGAGAGAAAACTGCTGATAGAGACGTCTGGAGATCTCTCTAACAAACCTCTACATCCCAAGGTAGAAGAGGAGCGGCTACGTAAGTCAGTATTTTGGCACCTATCTATCTTTCAGTAGTAGTAGTACATTGTACTATAGAGAATGAATGGGAGTCAAAGTCCACGGCAATGGCTAGTGTGTCTGGCAAGACCAGCTTGTTTTTAGACAAATCACCTGCAATATGGGATTTCAGGGTCATGATGCTTTCACATTTTGTTGTGTGTCATTAAATGCTCAACACTTAAACTATTGGCAATCATTTCTTCTTTGTCCATATTCAAAACCTGATCTTTTATTTCCAAGCAACATGAAACATATCTTACTCTTTTTCTGCATTTGCCATTAAAATGGCAATTGACACATTGTTTTGTGGTTCACAGGTAGGCAGTGATATCTGCACCATTAGGCCTAACACATCTGATTTCTATCGATCCTTAATTAGTCATCCTTTGACATGCTTATTAAGGAAGAGTGGAACTATTCTTTTCACACACCTCCCCCTTCCCCCTTTTTCCCCTTTCTGAAAATGAACCAGCCCAACCCACAGGATGAGTAAATGGTAAATCTGTTTATCCAGATCTGGCACCTGGAACTTCAAAACTATAAGCAAACTTTACAAGATGGCTTAAGTGACAGGGAATATGAAATATTCTTCAGAGAAGCATATACTTACTGAAAACTCTGTGATAAACACATCAATAATGCTACCAATGACTGTGGCAAAGTCAAAGACATTCCAAGGGTCGTAGAAATAATTCTGGAGGTAAATCATGAGATAAACAGTGTCAATCAAATAATCAATTATTTGATGAACAATCACAATGGAAACTGCTTAATATTAATATAGAAAAACACAGCTCTGCGGTTGTAATGTAAATAGAACTAACAGGATGGAGAATAAAGATGCTCAATCCATCTCTTTTTACCTTGACCTAATATTGTGTATCACTTAATTCTATCTAATATGAATCACTTAATCCTATCTAGGATTATTCTTAATCACTTAATACTATCTGTGCATTTACTTTATATGTATTATTATAAATAACAGATGTTTCATATTAATAATATAAATAGAAGACATATATTTATAATAGCAGACTACATATATTTATATAAAACATATCTGATACTATTTATTTACAATAACTTCTTAACATAGCAAATTATATATCAGTATATTTTGTAAATAGAAAATCACGTACATTATGTAACATATAAAAATGAAACTTACATATGTTAGCTTACTGATAAATTGTGTGCCCGCACACACACAAAGGCACACACACACACACACACACGCACATACACACCACTATCCCCAACAAACACAAAAATGGCAAACACACAGTTACACATACACATACACGCATATATTATTTAACTTAAATTTAAATGTAAGAAAATAAATACACATTTCTTTTCTTTTTTTAAAAAAACAATTTTAAATTTAGGTTTAAGAAAATATATATATCCTAATTAAAAGCAGCAAAGATGAATTATTAATACATCAAACAATTAATAACCAATGATAATTTTGTTTTTATTTTTATGCACAGATTAATTTTAAAACGGTTAAATAAATTATGTTTAATATATACAGACTGAACCAAATATATAAATTACAAGACATACATGCACATTTACATTAAAAAGAAAAATGACATGCCATGATCTCAAATAATAAGTTTTGGCACCACTACTTGAAGCAAGCTTGATAATGGCATGCAAGCAGGGCTATCTGTTGTGTGTTTCATGTTATCGTTATCAATGACATGCACAATGATATGTCATTATATAATTCATTCATACATTATCTAAGAATTAGATAATTAACACATACATTATCTGAGGTTTGTGTTACTGTTACAAGACTTGGGTGGAGCAATATATTTTATGTTATCATTATTAATGACATGCCTAATTATATAATTCACTCATACATTTTCAGAGAATTAGATAATTCACTCCTGCATTAACTAAGATTTGTGTTATTGTTTCAAGACGTAAGTAGGGGCAATAGTGTTGCAGAAGTTGTCAAACATAAGTGTTACATTAGTCATTCAGAAGTTACTGAACTTGAGTGCTATTTTAGTTTTACACAGGTTCTCAAGAGTCACATACTACTTTACTGATGCATACATTTTGAGTCATACATTCCCTTAGACGTTATAAGGTAACGTTGCAGGTAAAGGTCTTAACATGTTGTATTACTAAATACTATGACTTGGCTGTAAAGAAGCACTGTACAGAAGCTATGAGATCTGAAAATGTTTGAAAGGATGTAAATGAAAAAGGCAAACCGTGTGGGTGTGTAATAAGTTCCACCGACTTTTCCAAAACCAGATTACAGAGCTCAGTAGCTCATTACAAGAAAAGAAGAAACAAGGCAACAAGAAGAAACAAGGCAACAAGAAGACCTGGATGGTAAATCTGGTTGACTGGATGTGTTTAAAATAGGAAAATATAAAGTCCTGCATATCCAAAAAGCAGAACTGAAAAAACCAGAAGGAACAGTAATTTAGTGACCCAAAGCCAGACAGAGTGACGGGACTATAGATAAAAAAATTGATGCTAAACTTACTGGACGAGAATTACTATGGCAATTATAAAGCTATAAGACAAATAAATTAAATTAGTGATGCCTAAGTAAACTGGATAGCTACATCAGTTTTGCCAAAGTTAGCTGATCGATAACTATATTAGTGTTGTCAAAGTTCATCATCATCACGTAGCAGGTCCTTTGCAGAACGTTGCTCTCATCACAGTCTGCCTGAAAGAAACTCGGTCTCTCACTAGTTCTCCTGCCTCATATACTTTCATACTCAAGAAGTCACTAATATCCTGTGCCCATCTTCGTGTCGGTCAGCCCCTGCCCCTCCATCCTGGTACCATTCCTTCTGCTATAATTTTTTCAGTCCGTCGTGGCGCTTGATATGACCAAAATATTTCAGCTTCCGAGAAAGGATGCTGTTTATTAGCCAATCTTCCTTGATGCTCAGATCTTTTAAGATGTCAGTATTTCTCCTCTTCTTTGTCCAAGATATTCTGACAATCTTTATTTAGCATTTCAGCTCAAAAGCCCCTATTCTCTTTCTTAAGGACTGAGAGATAGTCCACGACTCACATCCGTATGTAGCCACAGGAAAGATGCATGCTCTCAAAATTCTAATGTGTATCTCCTTGCTGGTGCTTAACCATAGACTTTTAAGGCAGGTTCAATCATTGCCAAAGTTAGCAGACTGAATAAGTACATTAGTAATGTCTTGGTTAGCAGACTGGATAACTACATTAGTGATGTCTTGGTTAGCAGACTGGATTACTACATTAGTGATGTCTTGGTTAGCAGACTGAATAACTACATTAGTGATGTCTTGGTTAGCAGACTGAATAACTACATTAGTGATGCCTTGGTTAGCAGACTGAATAACTACATTAGTAATGCCTTGGTTAGCAGACTGGATAACTACATTAGTGATGCCTTGGTTAGCAGACTGGATTACTACATTAGTGATGTCTTGGTTAGCAGACTGAATAACTACATTAGTGATGCCTTGGTTAGCAGACTGAATAACTACATTAGTAATGCCTTGGTTAGCAGACTGGATAACTACATTAGTGATGCCTTGGTTAGCAGATTGAATCACTACATTAGTGATGCCAACAGCTAATGAACTGCATCTTCACCTGGGTAAACATTCGACATCACAGCGTTCAGGACAAGCCTATATTTGCTCCATCTCCCTCCTCAACAGTCAGTGAAGAGTTTCTGTACTGATGGTACCCTTTGTCATCTGGTCAACTACTCGTCATGCCTTCCTCTGAGTCCAGAGCCCACTACTACTCTTAGCTATATTATTCTCTTCGGGTACCAGTTTTCACTATCTTTAATTTCACGTTTTAGATTGTCCCACAGACTAGAGATCACCTCTGCCTTGTGCAGTTGCAGTGCACTCCCAGTGGAGCCAGTCCAGCTAGTCTGTCTGCCTGCTTACTTCCATCAGTATTCTACCAAGTGGTGCAGAGCCAGCCAGTCTGTCCGTTTGTTCATTTCCCTACACACAGGTATCCTCCGGAGAAAAAAATTCAGACAGTGCTCCTCACCCATGACCTTTAAGGCGAAACATGCACTCTGCTCAAAGCATGCCTGTCCTCAGCATGCTTTCTGAGTAAGTTTCTCCTGCTGGATGTGGTAATGTCACATGCCAAGCTTTCTTCCATCATCCTTCTCCCCTATGCTTTTGACACGAAGCCCCATCCAGTTTTTATGTCCCTGTTCACTGACCTATCAGGGTATATAATCACTTCTCCTGCCCCAGAGTTGTCCTCTACCAGCTGGTGAGCCTCTAACATCTACAGAAATGTTCTAGTGCATTTAAAGTTAAAAGACTGAAGAGTTACACTACTAAAGCCAAAGTTAGTAAGCGAACCGAAGAGCCACACTAGTGATGCTGCAGTTAGATGTTTAGAGAGCTACATTAGTGTAGAGCAGTGGCTCTCTACCTTCCTAATGCGGCGACCCTTTAATACATTTCCCCATGTTGTGGCAACCCTTTAATACATTTCCTCATGTTGTGGCAACCCTTTAATACATTTCCCCATGTTATGGCAACCCTTTAATACATTTCCACATGTTGTGGCAACCCCCCAACCATGCAATTATTTTTGTTGCTACTTCATAACTTCAGTGAATATGTGTTTTCCTATGTTCATTGGTGACCCCTTTGAAAGGGTTGTTTGACCCACAGGTTGAGAATGGCTGGTGTACAGCAACTGAATACTTACAACATTCTGTCTTAGTATTAAATCTGTCATCGATGGAAACCTCGGCAGGAACTCTTCTAACTGAAAATCAGTTTGTGGAGTTTTTAGTTTCATATCTTAATAACATAAATATCATAAATAAGAAAAATATGTTTTATCCTGAGCAGCCTCATGCTACTTAAATATCAAATTATGTGTCTTCTAAGTGTTTTTTCTTTCTTTACTTATCATTTCCTGACCTTTTTCACTGTTTGCAAACTTATAAGTGTTTTTTCTTTCTTTACTTATCATTTCCTGACCCTTTTCACTGTTTGCAAACTTATAAGTGTTTTTTCTTTCTTTACTTATCATTTCCTGACCTTTTTTACTGTTTGCAAACTTCTAAGATTATTTACTTTAAACATCAGTATTTTTTTTTTCACAAACTTGAATCAATAAGAATAACTTACTGTACATAAAAACATGCGAAGAAGGAATTTTAAACAGATACAACTTTTATGCAGGGAAAAACTAGACAATAAAATGAACATTACAATTATTACAACAATCCTTAGATCTGAAAAAGAAATATTAAAAAATATATATACAAAGTTGTAGGACTTTTATAATTATGGCTCAGTACGTGCTGAAGCTCCAGTGTCTATGTGCAACTCTCGTACCACGATCTGAAAACCATGATCATCGAACCCTAGTACTTGAAGTTTGTGAACATTTTTAAACGCATTCACTAACCCCCAATTCATAAAGCCACACAAACGGACAGTTTGTGAGAAAATGAGAAGTCAATCACATGGTGAATATAGATCAAAATACCAGAGAAGATATTTGTATTTCAATGGCCTTAACAACTTCCAATACAAGCATATGATATTTCTAAATAGGGTGCTTAAAGTCAAGATAGTTAATTTAATTGCACTGGGTTTTATCCCATAGGACTCAGTCTCTCTGAAAAGTGACTGTTTACTAACAGTGTTGTACAAAGCACAAAACTCTGTAGCTCCAGTGACAAGATTAAAGAAAACAAAAGCACTCACAAACAGGGCTGAATCTGAACTCATGACCTGAAAGCACAAGGCAACTGGCTTAACCATCATCCTAGTGTGCGATTTTATGACACAAGTGACTCAAAGCCTAGTCCTACTTTCCATTCCATCCTTCGTTATACTTTCCATATCATGTATGGAAACCAGTCCAGACTTGGCCTCTCATAACAGAGCCCCCCCCACCCCCTCCCCCCAGCCCCATCCCTCAACCTCACCTTAGGCTTTCTATTGGATATCCTCGTTTCCCTAATCCAGTTGTTTCCTATTTCAGTGCCTGTTTGGTGATTCTTGTGACTCTCATGGCTTAACCATGGATACCCAATATGGCTGCATAATGTCCAGCAAGAAGAAACCAAGTCACTACCTGCTGCCAGTCTTCAATCTGTACAATAGTGAACAGCTCAGGAAAACTGGGTTCAGTAAGAACAACAACTCACTAGCTGATCAGGGGCTCAGCGTGTTGAACTACTTTTCTCAAAGTATAGAAAGTAACAAGAAATAGTCCTAGGAAGTTAAGGCAGCTAGCATAATGTTTGTCATACCACTCATCATGTCTCAGTTAGTCTATACAAACAATGTTTATGTAACATTTACCCCGCTTCATAAGAATACCAATAATATCTACATAACGGCCTCTCTGCTTTATGAGTATTTTATTAACAATGTCCATGTAACCTTCTCCTTGCTTTATAAAAAATTTCAAAACTGTCCATGTGACCTTCTCCCCGCTTTGAAAGATTATTATTAGCAATATCTATGGCACACAGACTTATTGTTAGGGTTAGCAAGTTGTAAGGAGCATGATCACCTATGCCAGCTCGCAAGATGCTAAATGATGTAAATTGTACCTTGCTGTAAAAGAATATTAATAATCTCCATGTAACTTTCTTTATGCTTCATACCAAGATTATTAATGTCCATGTAGCTTTCTTCCTGCTTTATAACAATATTATTAATGTCCATGTAACTTTCTCCCTGCTTTGTAACAATATTAATAATGTCAATGTAACTTTCTCCCTGCTTTATAAGAATATTAATAATGCCCATGTAACTTTCTCCCTGCATTATAACAATACTAATAATGTCCATGTAACTTTTTTTTATGCTTCATACCAAGATTATTAATGTCCATGTAGCTTTCTTCCTGCTTTATAACAATATTATTAATGTCCATGTAACTTTCTCCCTGCTTTATAACAATATTAATAATGTCCATGTAACTTTCTCCCTGCTTTATAACAATATTAATAATGTCCATGTAACTTTCTTCCTGCTTTAAAACAATATTAATAATGTCCATGTAACTTTCTCCCTGCTTTATAACAATATTAATAATGTCCATGTAACTTTCTCCCTGCTTTATAACAATATTATTATGTCTATGTAACTTTCTCCCTGCTTTATAACAATATTAATAATGTCCATGTAACTTTCTCCCTGCTTTATAACAATATTAATAATGTCCATGTAACTTTCTTCCTGCTTTATGAAAATATTAATAATGTCCATGTAACTTTCTTCCTGCTGTATAACAATATTAATGATGTCCATGTAACTTTCTCCCTGCTTGATAACAATATTAAGAATGTCCATGTAACTTTCTTAATGCTTTACGACAATATTAATAGTGTCTATGTAACTTTCTTTCTGCTTTATAATAATAATAATAATGACCATGTAACGTTCTCCCTGCTTTTTAACAATAATAATAATGTCCGTGTAACTTTTCCCTGATTTATTTAAATATTGATAATGTCCATGTAACTTTGTCCCTGATTTTAACAATATTAATGTCCATATTATAACAATATTATAAATGTCCATGTAACTTTCTCCCTGTTTTATAACAATATTAAGAATGTCCATGTAACTTACTCCCTGCTTTATAACAATATTAATAATGTCCATGTAACTTTGTAACTTTCTCCCTGCTTTATAACAATATTAAGAATGTCAATGTAACTTTCTCCCTGCATTATAACAATATTTTTAATGTCCATGTAGCTTTCTCCCTGCATTATAACAATATTAATAATGTCCATGTAACTTTCTCCCTGCTTTACGACAATATCAATAGTGTCTATGTAACTTTCTTTCTGCTTTATAATAATATTAATAATGACCATGTAACTTTCTCCCTGCTTTTCAACAATAATTATAATGTCCATGTAACTTTTTCCTGATTTATTTCAATATTGATAATGTCCATGTAACTTTCTCCCTGTTTTTTAACGATAATAATGTCCATATTATAACAATATTATAAAAGTCCATGTAACTTTCTCCCTACTTTATAACAATATTAAGAATGTCAATGTAAGGATGACATCTGTGAACATAAGGGATGGTAATAATGAACATTTGCCTACTTGAATCAAACACCCACATGAAGCCACTAGATGTTTTAACTGCTGCCTGCTGTATTGACAAATCACTGAATGAACAATCAGTTGCTGAAGAGAAGTATCAGAAAATACTGTCTATGGTGACAAATAATGGCAGCCTAAACCGTTAAAAGCAGAAAAGCAATTGCAGCAAATACGTTTTCTTTCTATGATGTAATTTTATGTTACTGTTTAAGGGTTAATCGACTAAATGATTTTCAAAATTATGTTAACTTTATATATCATATTAAAGAGGATAACATAATTTATGAGGACATATAAAAGAAAACAGGTCGAAAGACGTTATCCTTTCATGATTGCCTTTGCAATTTAAGCTCCAAACCGGGCTCAATGTCTTTAAGGCGATTGATTTAAGTCCCTCTCACTCTAGTCCCATCAGGTAGAGGCCAGGGATGGAGGAACTTACAGTTTTGACCAATGTCGTCTTTAGCTGACGGAGATGGAGAAGGCACTGGTTTGACTACCTCTGAGATTATATGAAATCACCCTGGATGGTTAACTAACAGTTCAAATCAAATAAACTGTAACTGGGGTTCCCATAGAGCAACATCAAATGTTAAACCTTCAGTTGATTCAAGTGATGAAGATGGGTCTTAAAATACCCTGCTTTGTGAGAATATTACCAGGGCAATGTATACATGTTAACAAGTACAGACACAGAAGCTACTCATTGAACGATTGATGCTGGAATAAAATACATGCAGTATGCAGTCTGCACATTACAGTTCTGCAGGCTTTCATATTATTACAAACAAGATCAGTTTCCGAAAAGCATATTTGACATCACAGCAGGGAATATATCTCAAAAGGTAGGAAACAAAGCAAAATGAACAAGTCATAACTAAAAGTAAGTTGACAGGAGTTGTTTGGTTTTCCAGTTCTATCAGATCTACACAGAACACATTTTGGAAAGTCTGATACATACGACAGAGAAGAAGCTGGGGTAACACGAGATGACTGAACAGATGTCCACGTTACAATATCTAAAGCAAACATATCATAACGACATCTTCATCACACAGCACAACAAGTCACCCATAAGCGCCAACCAGCTGGGCTTCTGTGGCAGCCAGCTGGTTGGGTGAGTGACTGGAGGGTCTATCAGGCAAGCAAACCTTTCCAAAAGCGCACAACTTGAGTAGAAACTCAAGGGTGTACAGGCCAGTGAAGACAGCATTAACGGTTGTCAGCTGTGTGCCAAAATCGTTCTCAGCGTTCTTTTCATTGGGGTCAAACTGAAAAGTTTGTAAAGCTGAAAACATCAGCGATTTACAACATGAAACAAATCTCACAGTCAACAGACATTTAATTCTTCCAGTCTCAAGTGAGGCAAGATGGAAGACTGCCTCCAAGTCCATGCGTCTCAAGTAATGTGAGATGTGAGACTGCTTCCTCTCCGGATGTTCACATTCCCTCAACAATCATGTCATAAAAGGCAAGTAATTAGGAGACTGATGAAGTCAGATATGTTAGGCTAAAGGCCCACATATCGCAGCTTAGCTGTAAACCACAGCCCACAACGTGCCAACTCTTCACGTAAGAGTGAACAAAGAAGAAGAAAGAAGAAGAAGAAGAAGAAGGAAAAGGAGGAGAAGGAGAAGAAGAAGAAGAAAGAGAAAAAGAAGAAGAAGAAGAAAAAGAAGAAGAAAAAGAAGAAGAAGAAGAAGAAGAAGAAGAAGAAGAAGAAGAAGAAGAAGAAGAAGAAGAAGAAGAAGAAGAAGAAGAAGAAGAAGATGAAGGAGGAGGAGAAGGAGGAGGGGTAGAAGAAGAAGAAGAAGAAGAAGAAGAAGAAGAAGAAGAAGAAGAAGAAGAAGAAGAAGAAGAAGAAGAAGAAGAAGAAGAAGAAGAAGAAGAAGAAGAAGAAGAAGAAGAAGAAGAAGAAGAAGAAGAAGAAGAAGAAGAAGAAGAAGAAGAAGAAGAAGAAGAAGAAGCAGAAGAAGAAAGAAGGTGGACAAAGGAGGAAGAATGAAGAAGAAAGGAAAAGCAAGAAACAATAAGAAGGAGTAAGAATGAAAAAAGAGAAGGAAGAAACAAGAAGAAGAAGAAAAAAGGTAGAAAAAGGAGGAAGAATGACGAAGAAAGAAAAAGCAAGAAAAAATAAGGAAGAGGAAGAAAGAAAAAATAAGAGGAAGAAAAGTGGAGGAGAAGAAGAAAAGGAAGAAGCCACCTCCCCCCTTTTATAAAAATATTGTTTTTGCATGAAGGTCCACAGTGCAATGCATCATGGAAGGAAGTGATCATTTTAAAAGAAAGGTCACATACATCCAATATAATCTATAGGATGTGCCGACCAGTTGTCTCTCTCATATTAACCTAATATAAATGTTATATAAAAGTAAGTACAGACCCTTTTCAAAACCTTTCAGGCATACGGGGTATACGGTAAAGTAAAGGACCCTTTCCACGCCTTTAGGCGTATACGGCATATAGGGCTAGACCTATATTTAGTAGACCAAACGGCACTTTGTGGGAGATGTATAAATGTTATGGCTATGACCATATTCATCCTAATTCTATCTGAATTGCATGCGAGTGATTTCAGTGAGAAAATGGAAATCAAATTGTGTGACCTTATGTCAGTCACTGTGCTCTAAGTTCGATGACACCTTTCCGTCTTTCCGGATAATACTGTCCCCTTGTGCTATAAGGAGGCGCGGGAATCACAGCCAAATGTGACGACACCAGTGGCTAACAAGATCAAATGTAATGACATGTGTGGCTAACAAGATCATATTTTTACTATCTTTAAAAATGGATATATTATAACACTGGTTGAGAATTTCTAGCGATGAAGGAACGATAAGTAGAGGTAACGTTTAACTCGTCTGGTTCCAGGTGGCAGTAAAGTTAGATATAAATGATGCATAGTTGTTGATGACCGCATATTGCCATCTAGTTTTTTACTACCAAAACCACAGCTCATCAGCTAACAAGAGACACCACAATAGACCCTTCAGAAACATGATCGCCCTCGCCTGTCGACAAGGCACATGGTGACGATGCTGCTGGTTGACTAAAAACCATCACCCGAGCCATAGCTGACACCGACCTCTATAATCGGTTTGTTATATTTTACTATATAACTTATATACTTTTTATCTCCTTTAAAGAAGTCAATCAATACCCCGCTCTTCCTCTATTCTACTAAATAACTTATATAATTATATTGTCATATCACTCAATTTTATCCCTTTTAAAAAAATGTATACTATATAATATATATACTTTCTATCCCCAGCTGCCAAGCCGATTAATACCATAAGTTTTCTTCATTCTACTACATAACCCGTAAAACAGCACTACCCCCCACCCTGTACAGCTTGCCCTTGCTCACGGCTGTCCCTGAAACCTCTGCTCTGTAACGCCTGTCTCACCACCCACGGACACATAGCCACAACCATCCCTCGAGTCTTATCTGATCCTTCACCCCAAATTACGTTACCTGAGCCACTCGCGAGCCGCCAGGAGACCTAAGGCCACCAGAGCCACAACTGACCTCCACTGCTCGCTCAGTGGTGGAAATTGTTATGTCCTCTATTTCTTTGGGAACAGTGGTTTAACTGAGGTTATATAGCAGTCTCGCCATAAGAATGACATGGATGTTGTTGGTACCTACTACTCTCCGCCTCCCCCCTCCCCCCAAGTCCCTCCCCCTATCTCAGCACCCCACTGCTGAGACATGCATACTCTCCAATGCCAATTTAGATTTCTTCAGCACATCTGTTGCACTCACAAATAAGAAGCAGATTTGATCACACATACAACCATCATACTGCATATGTGATACCCATACGAGAATGTGACTTTTTTCAGTGTTATCTGTGTTAACAGTGGTATGATGGTGGGTTTACATGTGTATGTGTCTGTATGTAGGTAGGTAGGTGACATAGGTATATTTATAGTCCACAGAGCTAGTATCGGTGTCTTTTAGATGTCCCCAGAGCTAGTGACCTGTGTGTTTTAGGTGAAGTTTTTGTCAGGTAGCCACTCACTGAAAAGACAGACTTAGCCACATGAGATAATTCAGAACAAGCTAAACCTATATCCTTTTAATCTGATTTAAAAACCTGTCATACAACAGCCCTATCTCTAGCACAGAGAGGAGAGCGAGTGTAAACCTCAGCTTGGTAACAACGTCTACACAGTATCAACAAATCCAGTTCAATGAAATCTTCTGGAAATATATGCAGGTTTATCTCTACAAAAGTATAAAGAAGGAAAAGATGGAAGGAAGCAGAAGTAGAAGAGAAAGGAGAACAAATGGAGAAAGAACTCCCTCCTCCTCCCACCCACCCCCAAATTTAATAAATAAAAGCGGTTGGAAGCAATGGAAAGAGGGAAGCCTCCGTGGTCTAGCGACTAGACGCTCGCCTGCGGATCCGAAGGTCTTGGGTTCGGTTCCTGGTGGGGGCCGGACTTTTTTTAAAAATGACCTTGGCTTCCATGTCGACCCAGCCTTAAGTGGGCACCTGGTACAGTCCTGGGAAGTAAAGGTGGCCGGTGTGATGCTGACCACATCACCCACCAAGTGCCGTTTGGTCTATAATATATAGGTCTAGCCATATATACACTATATGCCTGAAAGGCGTGGAAAATGGTCCAGAGGAAAGAGGGTTAAAGATAAGCGGTACAGAGAGTGAGTAGAAGCACACTAGTAATGAAATAAAGGAGATTCGAAGGACTTCAGATGTAAACCTTAAAAATGTGACAGAAATGTCTAAATTGGGGCGGTCTTTTTTAACTTGTCATTATAACATCACCGTGTTCATCTGCAAAGTGATGTCAAATGCTTAACACTCTTGACATCCTTAACAACAATACTGGCAGGTTACAAGGCAATTGCATGATTATGGTAAATTTCTATCACCCTTTGAAAGTTTTCATTTGAATTCTCCTCGTAATCTTCAGGAGAATAAAACAGTCAGTCTCTAATTAAGGGAACAATTTCAGCGTATTTTTAATTGACTATTGAAGAACACCGCATTTTCTAGAAGTGTAATTGCAGGCACAGATCCCCTATATAATAACACTTGCTGGCATAAACATTTTTCAGACTGTACAGGAAAGAAGGGAATAGAGAAATAGACTGCTAGCCCTATATGACATATAATAGCACAATATGGCAATGAATGAATGAAGCAACATGTAAGTACATCTAACAACAACAGACAAATACATCTTGAGTGAAGCTTATAACACATAGCGACACGTCGAGCTAGCAAGCGTGTGTACATATACAGTGATAAACGCTATCAAATATCAAGCATAAGAAGCATACAGCATCACAAAAACAATGCAAAGCAGCCAGACACCCAATGCAAACTTGACCTTGGTATGAAAAAAATTATATATTGAGCGTCCTGCTGAAGTTTGGTATATGTTTTAAAACTGTATATATATATATATATATATATATATATATATATATATATATATATATATATATATATATATATATATATATATATATATATATATATATATATATATTCATAACCTAATGAACAAGCAGCTATGTATAAAAGTTTGTCGTAGAATCAAACTGAAGGCGCTGATTGTCTTAACAACATATTAAAGCCACATATTCTTAGCAACATATTAATAATACAAGCAGTTTAACAGCCTTAACACCTTTACATTCTTTTCCGCATTAAGTTGTTTGTTATATTAACCCTTTCCTTATTACTTGTAATTATTTTTTCATTCTCTTCAGAGATGTGTTTCTTTAACTCAGTCTTTCTATTACCACTTTAACTGCCTGGGATAAAAAAAAAAAAAAATAAAGAGCCCAGTTTTCTATTGAACGGAATTTTAATTTTGTCTGTTATCTGGCGTTGTCTTGTTTGAGCACTAAACTACATCACTGGATTTCGTTAACAGACTGAGGGGTTATGCTCCACAGGAAGCCACAAGACATTACAAGAATCAATGCATTATATATTTACTGACTACTTGTAAAGGCAGAGCTGGCAAAGGATCTTTGGAAAGACTACATTTAATAACATTAACAATGCCTCTGTTAAAATGCTTTTCATACAAAGGTCAAGTATATTTTATAGGACTCGAATAACCTGATAAAATTAAAAATAGAGTAGTAAGTAAAGTAAAGGACCTTTTCCCATGCATTCAATCTATAGGGCATTCAATCTATAGGGCATTCAATCTATAGGGCATTCAATCTATAGGGCATTCAATCTATAGGGCATTCAATCTATAGAGCATTCAATCTATAGGG